ATTTTACTTAATTTTATTTTTTTTACTCAAGCAGGGCATCACAGAACCGTGTTTGTGCTCTTTCCAATTCATTTATCTTCATATCTTCTCTTTTTATTACCAACAGAAATCTTTCGATTTTGCTTTGCATAGTCTGCAGCTTATGACTAACTTTTAGGTTTAGATTCCACCGTTAGCATTCATGCGTTAGCGCTGGGAGCACACACGGATTGAATACTTTCCATTTTCAGCACTAGAACAGTTTCAGGAGGAATGTTCCAATCGTCCAAAAGTGCTCCAGGGCATTTTTATTCTTCTGTTGATTTCACACAGTCGATTATCCTTTGCAAAGTTTTGCTGTTTTAAACATGCATGGCTAACCGACAGGCGTGTGTGTTCTCAGTGCTAACATTTGGGTGCGACACATAGACTCTAAGCCTGAAATCTGCAAAATGTGCAACCCAGTATGGAAAGATGTCTTTTGGAAATAACACGTAAAGATAGGAAAACGAATGAATACAAGGAGTCAAACAAGAGTCTGCGATGCCATTACCTACGTGAGCAAGTTCATATGACAATGGACTGGAGATATTACGTCAAAATCTGAGCAATGTTGAATCAGTTAGGCATAGGACAGGGTTCTAAGATACCAAACGGCTCATAAAACCTTCGATGAAAATCACAGCAAGCAGAAGTTTTTAACAGGCATTCGCTAAGTAGTGGATCGAAAAAATTCTGATGATGAATTTTCTTGAGTAAGTGATGTTTCCAGAAACTTTGCAGCTCGAAAGGTACGGCAGGCTCCAAAAACGAATTGGTAACATCTACAGGGTAACCGTTAATCTCTTCTTTGTTTAAGCAGTCAGTAACATTATGCACAAATTTGTGCCTCTGCTCTCCCTCATTTATGATTCAGGTGATGTGAATGAAGTTGTGCTTCTTTCTTTGTCTATGTGCATTTCATCATGCAGTCCATCGAGCGTCGACTAAATTTCTCTGTATACCTGGTCTGCTAGTTGTCATTTTCTATTCAGAGGGTGAATTGCGTAATGCAATTACTTATGAGATTTAACCGTGTTTAGGGGATAAATCAGTTTACCCACTTGCTTTCGCTTTTATGTAGGAGTGCGGACATTAATCAAAAGACCGCGAAAGAACAGGAGTGAAATTTTGTAGGAATTCTGGTGTTACGATGCTCGATGACATTCTGCGAGGGCTTTTTGCGAGCTCAGTCGCTCCTTCTCCAAAGCGAGAATCTGCAGTTACCTCAAGATGCCGGAGGAAAGATTCAGGCGAACGGGCAGATGAACGAGGAGATAGTTACATTATATTAAGCACCTGACATTATCGCATCTTGAAATTCATTTTATAAAGTTTATTGAAATGACAGAGCCATTAATATTGGGCGAACCTCATGAAGCTGTTCCTCTCGATATGACAGAAATGACGGGCTTAGACGTGAGTGAGCGAATTTTTGAGAACAAGTATGTTTGGTAACGTCTGATCTTTTCTTTCGCATTGGCAGCCAGGATGGCCTTGTTTTCGACACATTCTTCCAACAAACTCGAGACGGTCTGTCGTTCACTAATCATCACCTTATTAGACTGCAGTTTCGTGAATAATGACTAACTTTTACGGATACCATTATGGCTTCGCAAAATGTACTGTTTCATATTTGGCTCTGACTAGAGACGGCGTTAGCAACATTTTTATCCAGAACGTCTGTTTTAGAATCAAAGGCTGGTGGCTGTTTCATCATTATGTTTCGACCGTCCTGTCAGGAATTTTGCTCACATGGCCAGATGGTCGGTGTTACCAGGCATTTCGGTCACAGTTTATGGTTTTCTCGTTTTATTTAAGTATGTATAAGTGTTCAGCAATTAACGCTTTCGATTCAACCGCATTCAGGTATTGTACAGCTGATGCAGTGCCAATATCAACGAGGATGTCTCTACAGATTGAAGGCGCTTGGCAAACGGCATTCTATGGACATAACCCTTGGTGCGAATAGCAGAAAGTCTGTCTGACTTGATTTGTGTTTACGTCACCGTTACTAGAGGGCTTTCATTCGTGGATGTTTCGCGGGTTGACGTTCCTGCTCCCATTTCTGGTTATGGGCTACGCTTTTCAACTCTACAACACCTACGTTCTGATAAAGATTTATAATACTTACTCTTGCGTGGAGTGGCAGGTACTGTGAAA